CGTCCAACAGCAGGGCCACGGGGCTCTCGCTGCGGCCTTCCAGGCCTTCAGACAGGTAGTCCAGGTCCTGGGGGAGGGGCGCAGGTGAGTGGGCCGCGGGGAGGGCTGAGCCGGCCCTGGAGCCAGTGGCCTGTCCTGCAGCCAGCCCCACTGCGAGGGCGCGGTCAGGCGTGGGGATGCCGTCGCTGCCGCAGAGGGCCTGCCCAGCAGGCGCCTCGACCACGCAGACCCCAGCAGCACCACCCAGAGCTGCGTCCTCGGCCCCGCTCAGAAGAGCGAGGGCGCCAGGGGCAGGGGATGGGGGTCTCATCACGGGCACCGCGCACACTGGGTCCAGCAGCGCCACCTAGTGGGGACAGCCAGAAGCGTGTCCCCTGGGGAGCAGAGCTGCCGGCCGTGGCGTGCACACGTGTGTGACGAGGAGCCCTGGTTCCCGGTGCTTCCTCGTGTTTCCCTGCACACGTCGGGGCGGGGGGAGGCTCCCACAGTGGGGCATCCTCCGCGGAGCTCTGGCCCACCTGGTCCAGGATGGAGACCCCCGGAGCCTCGGCCAGCTTCCTCTGCAGCAGGGGGTGCGGGTGGACGGCGTCCGGCCTCACGTAGGGCGTGTAGCCGGAGAGCAGGTAGGACAGGCAGATGCCCGAGGGGCCATTGCCTGCAGAGAGAGGGCAGCGCTGAGACCCCGGCCGGGCTCGGCCATGACCTGGCTTACTCCTCGTTCGTGAAGGTCAAGCTAAGGAGACGCGTCCTTTGCTAAGCTCGTGGCCAGTCGCTGCTTCTAATGCCCGAGAGAGCAGTGAGCAGCGGGGGCTTCTCTGGCCGGGTGTCAGGCTGCACGGCCGTGCTGCTCCCCCTTCAGCCTTGGGGCAAGCGGCACAGAGAGGTTAATCGGCCCGCCCACGGTCACACAGCTGAAGAGATTTGAATCCAGGACAAGGCAGAGACCGATGGGACGGTGGACATGACCTCACGGATGGCCATGTGCCCGAGGGTGCCGAGCCCTGGGGAGGGGGGGACGCTGCCCCTGGGGGCGTTCACATCCCCCCATCACCCAGGCCCCGCCTGGCATCTTGTTCCCCTCACACCCCCTCTTCCCTCCTCCTGTGCAGAGTCTGACCCCGCTCACATCCACCCGTTCCTGACTCACTAAACCAGCCACATCACGTGTGTGCCGGAGGGCATCCGCCCACATCTTAGACCTGGGGACGGGACCCTGGCCCGCTGCTGTGTCCCTCACGCGGTCCCCGCCCCGGGCCGCCCCCTGCGTTCTGGGACGGATTCTCTGGAACTTCTTAACAAGCAGTTTTTAGGGCTTGCGATTTAAGTCTTAGCTATTTCCAATTATTTGCAAGGTGGCCCAGAGAGCTCCCGCCCTCTGGCTCAGTCCCCAGATGCCCACAACAGGCAGGGCTGGGCCAGCAGCCAGGAGCTCCCGTCCAGGTCTCCACGTGGGTGGCAGCGGCCCAGGCGCTGGAACCGGGGCCGGCTGGGGCGCCCGCTCCAGGAGCTGGGATTGGAACCCGGGCACCCTGACCACTGCTGTGCACACGCCCACCCTGGGCCATTCAGTGCTGGCCACGCGGTCATTAAAGGGGACAGCTGCCCAGAAGCCAGGCCTGGCCTCGCGCAGCGCTGACCTGGCCCTCGGGGCACAGCACGGCCCTCCCCAGCCCGGGCGGCCACTCACCGATGATGACCACCGGGAGGGGCTCGGGGCTGCTGAGGCGGTCCTTCCGGGAGGAGCTCATGGCTGGGGCTGGTGGGAGACTCGAGGCTGGCAGCCGACCTGGGGGGCAGAGGGGAGAGAGGGCCCACCCGGGTCAGGTCCGTTTCCCAGCCCCGGGACGGCGTCCTGGGGGCCCGGGGTCAAGTCCATAGCACGCTTCGTTCCTCCCGAACAGGCCGGTTTCCCGCTCCCCAGTTCCCAGGGCGCCCCCAGCCCGGCGTCCGGGCAGCCTCCTGAGCCTTCCCAGGGAAACCCCGGCCCAGCCCCCGGGAACTTCCGCGGCCGCCCCGCCCCACCCCGGCCACGCCCCCGATGCCCTGATCGAAAGGCCGTCAGTCTGCTTTTTGGACCCAAATCCCGACCTAGGCTGTGTAGGACCCGGGAGGCTTGATATGAATTATCCATTCGTTTTTGCTCGTTCGAATTGAATGGTCTTTGCTGCTGTGCTAACCTGACTTTGAATCTAAAAACGTGTTTTATGATTTCAAGCA